GGCGATGTTGGCCTACTTGTAACAAAATAAAAGTAAAATACACAAATATCACTAAGAAACTTGTGTTTCTGGATAAATAAAGCAGTATCAATGTCGTAAAATCATGAGTAAGTTTTGATTTAAAGGTCAGAAGCTATAGCTTACATGAACAAAAACATAAATCACAAACATGACTTAAATTAAATAATTGCATATATACCGATCTATTCATTAATGTGTAATATGTTATATTTTTTAAACAAATTATGAGCTCTAAAAGAAAACCGCAATATTATCAAATTGCAAAGGCTGCAATTTAATTAAAGAGGTCATCGGATGCCCATTTGATATAGGTTGATATGATTTTTTTAGGGTCTTAATGAAAAGTCTATAACATACTTTGGTTAAAATTTCTCAATGGTAGTGTAAAAAACACCCTTTTTACCCCGTCAAAAACAGCTTTGTTTTTAGCACGCGGTTCTAGTCCATGTTGCTTTAAATGCTAATGAGCTCTGCTGACCCCGCCCCTCTCTTCCGTGGAGTGACGAGCAGTACTGTTTACTTTAGCCGCGAAACTTGCTAACTAGCACGTTATTAGGAAAGGAGATTTGCATTTAGTTTTTTGAGAGACCTTAATTTTTGTGATTATTATCGGAAAAACTGGAGGGAACTGATCAGTGAATCGGTGTTATATACTATTATAGAGTTATTAATAGTTTGAATTAGTTTTTATTTTATATTTGCTGTTTTCATTTTAGTTTTAGTCTTGTAATTAAGTTTTAATTAAATTAAATTTTATTGTGTATTTTTGTCATATTAGCTTTTTTTAAAGTCTATATAATTTGTATTAGCTTTTATTTCAATTTTAGTCATTTTTATTACTTAAAAAAAATGAAAATTAGACATTTTGTCTGGGCAACTAACTTTAAGTTTTTTATATTTATATTTATTTCAGTAAATCTTATAATAAGTAACAAACATGTTTTTTTTAGATTGTTTTAGTTTTGTGGTTTAGTTTAGTGGTTTGTAGGCCTGCACCATTTTTATTTTTATTATGATTATTATTATTACTAAATAAGAAATATTACTATTACAGTATTTCACTGTAAAAAATATTTAGGAAAAAAATTATTCTATTTAATTTTTTTATTATTGTTTTAGTTTTATTCAACTTTAATAACTGTGGTTTGTAGGGCTACACAATTTAACCAAAAAAACAAAACGAAAGTAACGTTAATCCCTCTGCGTCTTCAGCGGCTCGGATGTCGGGAGTAAATAACGACTGCTATATTTATTATTACATCCAACAACAAAACACTTCAATCGCTTAATCAGAGACGTTCTTGTCTTCCCCTGCACTGGAGTCGACACAATGGCGGACTGATGACAGCTCACTCAGGGCGGAGCTTAAGGTAAGACGGCCCTGTCAATCAACTATCGTGGGAGGGGCCTGCGCAGAACTACGTCATTCTGACAGGAATCTCAGAACGGCCTGATTTGAGAAAGGGGATTTTAAAATAGGGATTTAAAAAAAACCACTGGGTGGATTTTTATCATTATAGGATGGATGTTT